TTTTTTTTTTCATTTTTTACTCTGCAAATACCTTCTCAAATTTAAAATTCAAATAGAACCTTAGTCTATAATTCTTATTATAGAAACAAAAAAACAAAGAAATAAAGAAAATTAATATTTTAAGATTCTAATTTTGTTCATAGATAATTTAACACCAGAAAAAGATAGAGTTTAAAAAATCGAGAAATAAAATTTTTGTTTTTTTTTTTCTTTTTTTGATCAGCAAAAAAGAAACCTTTATTGATGATAAAACCATACATCAAATGAAATTACATTAAATAAAGGGGCGGAGGAGCAAAAAGTATCATAGCAAACTAACCCGATCCCAACTAGGTCGGCACCGAGAAGAGAGTCGAATCATCTACTAGCTCGACCACAAAGGATTGGTGAGGGACCAAACCCCGTAGGAGAAAAAACCAACAATTAACACTAAATCTTAGAAGCACTAACAAATAGATCTCAGCAAACACAATCAAAACACCCAGCAGGGCACAATAGATCACATACCAAAATAAACCACAACAAAGCATTCCAGCAGGGAGACCACAACAGAACGCTGCAACAGATCCCAACCCAAGAAACCATAGCAGCTTCCAAATCAGTTCATAATGCAGACTTTAACGGCAACATACAACTGCATACACATATCAATTTGTGAACATCAACCAATAGCAACATACAGCAGGCCTAACAGATGCCACCTACAGACCAGATTCTAACTTCAGAACTACCATAAAGCAACCATCCACTTCAAGCCCAGATTCCGACTCCATCAAGCCCTTGAAGATCACAATGCTTGACCCCTAATCAGCTGCATATTATGAATTAGATCATGCACTGAAAAAGCAATGCTTGTGTTATGCTACTTAACCCACAGAGCCATCCTAATTTTTACCTTGTCACAAAGATCCATCACCTATGGCTGAACTCTTCTAAGTACACAGTCATTCCTGCACTTCCATATGGACCACAACAAAGCCATAGGAATTGTTTTCCAAATCAGCCACTCAAGCTTTTTAAATTTAAACCCAGCCCACTAATCAAAAAGTTCGACAATTGAACCTGGAACAACCCACTTTAGACCCCACCAATCCACCATATTCAACCACACCTTCCAAATTAAAGGACATAGCAAAAGAACATGATTGACATCTTCAATATCATTATTGCAAAACACATAGGTATTCCGAGCCACACTAGAAAGTACACCAATCCACTGTAGATAAGCCACTATTTTGACCCTCTCCTTCCAAGCCAACAACTCAAATAATTGTGTTTTAGGAGGAGAGAAATTATTCCAAATAAGGGAGGGAATAACAGAAATAGCTTGAGATTCACTCCTATTATACAAAGAAGCAACACTGAACTGACCTAAAGAGAAAGCTAACCATCTTAAACAATCATCACGATCCACCAGTGTCGGCGAAGAACCATTAATCATATGGATAAGCCTTCATTCCTCAGCCATCTCTCATGCTCTAAGCGGTCTTCTGAACTCCAACCCCCAACTTCCAGAATCAACTATATTTGCTAATATCATCCCAAGATTGGTATCCTTCTCTATTGATAACAAAGACAATCTTGGAAACAGCTCTTTAAAACTTTGTTCACCAGCCCAATTGTCTTCCCAGAAACTAATTTTGCACCCATTACCAACAACAATTCTAATTTGTGACAAGTAAAACATTCCCAATTGAACATTACCAGTAGCAAATAAAAGGATATCACCCCAAACTCTTGAGCCTCTACTAATATCATCCAAAAATGGCTGCCAACCCCCACCCGAAGACCCATACCTGGAACAAATTACTTTTTCCACAAGGTTATCTTTATTGCCAAGTCTCCACTACCACTTAGCAAGTAAGCAGTCATTAAACTCCCTGATTCTCTTGACTCCCAACCCTCCTTGAGACTTACTTTTGGTGATCTCTGCCCACCTAATCACATAAGTTTTCTTCTTAATATATGCACCACCCCACAAGAATGTAGCTTGCACTTTATCAATAATTTTTGCCACACTCTCTGGCATTTTAAATAACAAAATATAATACACAGACAAGCTTGAGAGTACTGACTTAATCAAAGTAAGTCTTCCCCCAAAGGATAAAAACTTCCTTTTTCCAAGAGGCTAACTTATGCTTAAACCTCTCAATTACTAGCTTCCATGTGGCTACTCTTCGGGGACTTGCACCCAATAACAACCTAAGATAAGTAAACGGAAGCTTCTGCCTTCTGCAGTGAAGAAGATCTGCAAATTCAGATACTTCCATATCAGTCACTCCTACACCACACACACTACTCTTATGAAAATTAACCTTAAGCCCAGACATAATCTCGAAACCTCGGAGAATTCTTTTGATGGTTAGCAGTTCCCTCCTTTCAGCTTCACAAAAAATAATAGTGTCGTCCGCAAACTGTAGGTGGGTGATAGCTTCATCACCATCTCTAAGTGTTATTCCTTTGACCAAACCCAAAGACTGTGCTCTTACCAACAACAAATTTAATGCTTTAGCAACTAAATTAAACAAGAATGGGGACAAAGGGTCACCTTGCCTTAGCCCTTTTTCAGGACAAAACTCCTGGGTAGGGGATCCATTAACTAGAACTCAGATCCTTGCTGAGGACACACACTCCTTGATCCAGCTGACATATCCATCCCCAAAACCAAAGCCCCTCATCATATGCAACAAAAAAACCCCAGTTCACTGAATCATAGGCCTTTTTAAAATCAATTTTTAGTATCACCCCCTTCTCATGCTTCTTTTTCCACAAATCCACAACTTCGTTAGCAATCAAAACTCCATCTAGAACATTTCTTCCTTTTAGAAATGCAGATTGTACGTTACTAACCACCTTAGGAATAACTTTCTTCACTCTATTTGCTAGCATCTTAGATAGTACTTTGTACAAAAAACCAATCAAGCTAATAGGGCAATAATCTGCTAAGGACTCAGGACAGTCCTTCTTAGGAATTAAAGTAATGAAGGAATTAATAATACCTTTTATTAACTTCCCATGCATGTGGACCTCCTTGAAAAATTGCAGAATATCTGGTTTAAACGCATTCTAAAATTTTTGAAAACATAACAAGTTGAACCCATCAGGGCCTGGGGCCTTATTACCTTCACACCCCCTTACTGCAGCCCATATTTCATCCTTTGAAAACTCAGATTCAAGTTCGGCCACTATAGCTGTAGCCCCAATAGACTTAAAGGACCCATCCAATGTAGGCCTAACCTTCCAATCATTTGTGAACAATGTTTTGAAAACCTATATACCTCCCTTCTGATACTTGTTGGCTCATCATACTGAACTTCATCTACACATAAAATGTTGATCAGAATCTTACTTTGCCGACTGGATGCCATAATATGAAAAAATCTAGTGTTTCTATCCTCCTTCAAAGCCCATGACATCCTTGACTTTTGTAACCACAACCATTCATCTTTTTTCCTCCATAGCCACACCTCTCCCTTTAATGCCTGCCTTTTACTTTTTTCACCATCATCTAGATCTCTATACTCAGCACATAAATCAAGAGAATGGAGTTCCTCCTCAGCTTCTTTCAACTTATGCTTCACATTTCCAAAGACTTCCAAATTCCAAGTCTTTAACGCTATTCTGAGTGCTTTTCACTTAGAATAAATTACATAACTAGCCTATCTAGTCATTGCAGCTTCCTCCCAAGAATGCTTAACGGCTGATAGAAACTGAGAATGCAAGGTCCATGCATTAATGAACCCAAACAGCCTAGGCCCCCAATCCTTAGCATCATCCATTAAGATAATTGGGCAATGGTCAGACACAGACCGTAGGAGCCCTCATTGTTTGAGTTTAAACACCTGTAGCCATTCAGGTGAAATGAGAAACCGGTCTATTCTGCTCTACTTATCCCCATCTACTGCATTACACCAGCTAAATCTCCTTCCTAACATGACAAGGTCTATAACTTCCATAGATTCAATAAAAGAATTAAAATCTCGCATTCCCCGATCCCTCCTCAAACACCCTTTTCTTTCCCTTATTGATTTGATTTCATTGAAATCACTACCTAAAATCCAAGGATAGGCAAAGTCTAATTTCAGTCGAATTATAGCTTCCCACAATCTACCTCTTTTGGCCACATCATTAGTGGCATACACATTCATCAAAACACACTCAACAGAAGGAAGAATAGTACCTGATAGAAAGATAAAGCTTCTTCTGCTGTAACTCCTCAATTTGAACACTCTAGGATTCCAAACACAAAGTAAACCACTTGCTCTCCCTTCTGGATCAACAAGCATAAAATCAAACTCCTCCCCAGGCCAAATTGCTCAAATAAACTCCCCAGTCACTCTAACCTTCTTAGATTCTTGGAAAAACGCTATATCAACACTTCTATCTCTGAGCACAACTTTAATCTTCCTCCACTTCCTACTCCTACCGAAACCTTTGATATTCCATGATAAAATCTTCATTAAACAATGCTTAAACTCCCAAGACACCTAAATATGATGCTCAAGAATGAGCACCCACCAATCAAATTGCTACCCGATCTGCGTCCTTCTGTTCCAATTCCATACATCTCTGAATTGTTTCTTGGTCCATCCCATTACAATTAAGACCCAATACTCTTCGAACTCCAATAGTTTCTTGAGCCTCGAACACTAACTGCTTCTCTTTGTCATTACCATGGCCACTCAACAAAGATGAAGATACCGCCTTCAATGCCGCCCGAAAGAGTACTCCCCTATGCCAATTCCCAACTAGCATTGACCCTCAAATCTTTGAGATCTTTTCGCCCTTAGCAAGCCTCCTAATCACATTCACCTTTGTCTTGCTCATCTTTTTCCTTCTTCTAGTTCTCCTTTCTGTATTCTGCAAATTAGGGCTCACAAGACTGTCCCTCTTACGTTCCACCCCAGCACCTGACTTCATAGCAACTCTATCACAGGTTTGGACTGAAGTGCTAATAATATCATGGTTGTCCACTTCATTCCTTCCTTGTGGGCTTCTATATATTTGATACAAAGGTCCAGTATATAATAGCCCACTCGTTTGGGCTATACCCAGTGAAACTTTCACATTAATTTGAGATCAATCCACCTCAAGTCCATTAACATTTGCAATGAACCCAGGTGTGACAATTTCATCCTCCAACTCCCTAATTGACCGTTGCACATTAACTCCTGTGATTACGGCTGTTGTGAGAACAACATTGCACGCCAACTTGTTGTTTGGATTTCCAAGATCACGACATGCTGTCTCAACCACCACTGATGGAGTAGGTGAACCATCAACTCCATCCTCCACAGCAGAGCCTCCACCGCCATGCCAGTCATTGACTTCCACCTCATTCGAATGCTCTACCTCACGGTCCACGAAGGCTTCCACCTCACTTGTCTTCTCAGAACTCTGTTCTCCATTCACAGTACCGTGAAGCTTTTGACCGATAAAGCTGCCATCATCATCACAAATATGTAATAAACATTTGCTGACTTCCTTAATCAGTTTTGACACCACCACTTGCTCCTCGCAGACCCGTACTAGTACAATGACCCCTTGCAACTCAAATTAACCACTTGGTTGATAGGATGCATATGCTTTGTGACAATGTAAATCTTGCTACTACCAAAGGACTCCATTCTTAGTGTTGCCTCATCAATCTAAATCACATCACCCCACACCTTACAAATATTTTTAAACGTGTTATAGTTCCATACATTGAGCGGCACACCGTAACAAGTAATCCATACACTTTGCTCTTGGGCCAAATGAACACCTTTGTTCCATTTCGTAACATAATCACACCATTCCTTAAGAGTATCATCAAGTTGGACAAGCATTTCCCTCATGATGGCCACCGACTTGAACGTTAGCATTGCACACTTACCTCCTCTATTTCTTACCACTATATCATCCGCTCCTCTAAGATGAATCACACTCTCAAACTCTGCAAACGTATAATGGCTTTTGATCTGGACAATGATACTTTCATACAGCCACCCATTGCCTTCCTCATGTGCTACCACGGTCCTTTCACCCATAGTCCTGGCTCGCACTACTTCTACAAAAGACATTCTACCTCCATCATCAAAGGATTGATGATTCTGCTCCCTGATACACGCTTTGGAGGGACCATTAACAGTACCTTTCCCCACCTTTACACCAGCACCATCCTGACCTTCCATTTAATCTTTCCCGTACTCTGCCATCTTTACTTTGATTTGTTTATCATCACATCATAACCTATCATCTTTTTGGATTGCTACCTTCATCGCCACTGTACAATCAAATCTGACAAATCCAAATCTTGTCCTTGTAGATTTCTTGACCTTACTGCGGATAAAAACATCTTTAACCCCTCCAAACTTTGAGAACAAGAGGAACAGTCCCTTTGGGTTCATGGACACAGGCAGATTGTCCACAAAAACTGTGACAATCTCTGCCCCAACTTTTACAGAAACAATCCTTTGTGCTTGATGACTTTTCTCATAAATGACTGGCTTCCAACCTCCTTGTTCAAGAGTAATTGTAAACTCCCTTTTTCCTAAACAACATCGTTCTTTCTTAAGTTGCAAAAGAAGAGAGACACGAGTTGTAAAAGAAAAGAATGAGAGAGATGTGATGACGAAGAAGAAGAAAAAGAAGAGAGTGTGTCGGTGCAAGGCCGATGATGGTGTCAATGATGGAAAACGCGATCGTGATAGTGAAGATCGCAACAGTTTGAGCTGTAAAGATGGGCCATCACGGGGTAACGGAGATGATGGAGAATGACTGAGGTGGCCAACAAGGAATTGGTTATTGGAAATAGAATTTCATACTTTCTTCCTTTCTATAAGTGTAAATTTGTCCCGGCTTGGCCCATGTCAGGCTGCGCAGGCGTGTGCCAAACTTTGGTCTGGGCCGGGCTAGCCCATGTGTTAGAAAAATTAGGCTCAGGTCCAGGGAGTATTCGGGTCTTGGGCAAGTCAGCGGGCCTAGGCTTGGGCTTGGGTTTGGGTCAAGCCTAAGCGAGCCTAAACAAATTTTTTTTATATTTTTTCCACCAAAATTTTATTCTTTTTCATAAAAAAAAAATGACACTAGATCTCGAACAAACCGAGTAGACTGAATTTTTAGTGGGCCTTAAGCGAGCCGATGAGTCAAACTACGGGTCAGACCAGCTCCAAAACACACGGCCCAAAACCAAAATCCCAGGCTTAGTTGGCCCAGGCAGCCCGAGCCACAGACAAACTATGGGCAATTCACAAGCCCACAAGCCATTTTCCACTACAAGAAAAGTGGGCTTAAAAGATGGAATTTTTTGCGACGGCACATTTGCTGTTGCAAACACTGTGACTTTTTTAGACGACACAACTTGCCGTCGCAAAAAATAGAGTATTTGCGACGACATAAAATGTTGTCTCGAAAAATGAGATCGCAAAAAAATAGAGTTTTTGCGACAGTACCAGCTGCAGTCGCAAAAAAAAAAATAAAATTTTGCAACTGTGATAGACATCGTTGCAAAAAAAAATAAAATACATATATATATATATTGTGGCCTTGAGACGGCTTCATATATATATATATAGTCACAAAATGGTTTAAATAAATGTAACGGTATTTTTCTGTCACCAAAAAAAAAAAAACGACGTTGTCTTACTCTTTTGAACATTTCTCTTTTCACCCATTTTTTCATCTTCCTATCTTTCTGTCTCTGTCTCTCTTCTCTTTCTCTCTCTCACTCATCACTCTTCTCTGTCTGTCTGTCTCTCTCTCTCTCTCTCTCTTTCTCTATGTGTCTCTATCTCTGTCTCTCTTCTCTCTCTTTCTTACTCATCACTCTTCTTTGTTTGTCTGTCTCTCTCTTTCTCGCTGTCTTTGTCTCTATCTCTCTTTTCTTTCTCTCTCTCACTCAACACTCTTCTTTGTCTGTCTCTCTCTCTCTCTCTTTATCTCTGTGTCTCTCGCTCATCTCTCTTTTCTCTATCCCTATCATCTCTCTTTTCTCTCTGTCTCTCTTTTCTCTTTATCTCTCTCGCTCATTTCTCTCTTGTTTATCTCTTTTCGCTCTTTTTCTCTCTTTCTCTCTCTTTGTCTATATCTTTTCACCCATTTTTTCATCTTCCTCTCTCGCTTCTCTTTTTCTCTCTCACTCATCACTCTTCTCTCTTTGTCTGTCTGTCTATCTCTCTCTCTCTCTTTCACTCATCTATCTCTTCTCTCATCTCTTTTCTCTCTCTGTCTCTTTCACTCATCTCTTTCTTCTCTATCCCTCTCACTTTTCTCTCTTCTCTCTATCTCTCTCGTTCATCGCTCATCTCTCTCTCTATCACTCTTGTTCATCTCTCTTCTCTCTATCTCTCTCGTTCATCTTTCTTCTCTCTCTGTCTCTTTTTATGTCTCTCACTCTCTATCTCTTTCTCTTTTTGTCTCTCTCTCTCTCTTTCTCTCTCTCTCTCTCTCCCCATTGTGTTCGCGTTGCTCACTCTCTCCCTTCCGTCTTCTCTATTTACTGAGCTCCCTCTCGATTTATCGATCCACTACAAGAAAATATACTTTTAGCGATCGGTTTGTCTCTCTCTCGCTCATCACTCTGTCTCTCTTTCTCTCTCTCCCTCATCTATCTCTCTCTCACTCATCTCTCTCTCTTACCACCCATCTCCTCTACCACGTTCACTACTACTACAAACGCCATTTCACTACCACCAATACTACAACTGTTGACATTTCACCTCTACGACTACCATTACTACTACCATTGCCACCACTCCACTACCATCACTACCACAACTACTACCATTACCTCTCCTTCACCCCTGCCACTCCATCTACTCTACCATTACCACAACTTCACCACTAATCTCCTTCGCCATCACCACCACCACCACCACCATCACTATCTTCTCTTATCCACCACCTTCACCACTACTGCCACTCCCTCTTCTCTACCACAAAAAATTAGTTCATAATTTTTAGTAACCAAAAAAAATGGGCCGCAGAAAAATATTTTTCATTGACCACAGAAAATTAACTTTTATTTTAGTGGAAAATATTTTTCTTTAAAATATTATCCATACTTCTACCAAATAAAAAATAATAATAATTTTTTTTTTCATTAAAATAAAAATGAAACAAATAAATTTTCAATCTTAGTAACTAAAAAAAATTCATTAACTACAAAAAAAATTATTTTAACAAAAAATAAATTTTTTTGGCGACGACAACCCCTGTCGCAAAAAAAAAAAAAAAAGAAGTTAAACAACATTATTTTGTTATTTAAATTTTATTTCTGAAAAAAAAATTTATTTTCATTCACGCCCCTTTTTATTTTCCATTCCCGTTCCCTTCCCACTTTTTTTTTCCCATTCCCGCTGTCTTGCTCACTCTCTTCCTTCCTTCTTCTCTATTTATCGAGCTCCCTCTCGATTTATCGATCCACTACAAGAAAATGCACTTTTAGCGACCACTTGGTCTCTCTCTCACTCTCTCCCTCCCCTCTTCTAGTCAATAAGTTGTAATAAGAGTGAATGGTTCGGATTGTCGAAATCAGTTTCAAAATATCAAAATAAGCCCACAAAACCGAAAGTTCACATAACCAAATTAAGAGAATCAAAACTCTTTCCAAAGTTAAGGTGGTGGCCAGGTTTGGTTTGATTTTCTGGAACTTGATTTAAATTTATTTTTTACAGACTAAAAATTAGTTTCGTGAAAAAATTTAAAACATCAAAACTACCATACTTGTCAATTTTATATAATTTTACGATGGATATGATCAGTTTGTTTGGTTTAGATTTTCAGTATTTATTTTTCAGAAAATTGAAATTTTTTATTTTATGTGTTTGTTTTTTATTTTATTTTTTTTATGTTTTCACTATTTTTTTTAATATTCTAAGCATTTTTTTTTTAATTTTTAAATACACCACACATAAATGCACTTTAAAAATATAATATTTGTGAATTTTATTTTTATAAAATTCACTAAATTCTATATATATATATATGAAAATTTAGTACATTTTTCGTATTCTTTTGTATTTATTGGTTTTTAAAAATTTTTTGGACAAATATTTTACTTTTTAAATACATCTAAGTGTGCATCTAAAAATATAAAAAATAAAAATTGTGTAAAATTTTAAAAATTCACTAAAAATTTTAAAAAACACGAAAAATAAAAAACTTAATTTTCAAAATATTAAAATCAAATAATTTTTAAAAATTCAAAAATACATTTTTTAAAAGAAAATCGACCAAACAGCCTCCCTCCCAAATTTGCCAATGTTCGAATTTCCCACAAAACCTTCGCTTTCTCATTTCGTTTTCCCTCTCTTTTTTCACGCTCAACTATAATGCCTTTCTTCGTGCGATTCATCATTTTCCTGAGTTCTCCCCACTCCACCTCACGCAACTTATCTTCGTGCGATTCGCCGATGAGCGTGGTTGCTCGTCACCACGGGCCCCTCCATAATAATTGGTGTGTATATCCGTCTGTTTCTCTCTCTCAATAAACCCTAACATTTATATATATATATATATATTTACCTTTTCCTTATATTTGCCCTAGCCTCTTCACAAACACTGATCGGTCTCTTCGCTCTCTCTATCTCTATCTCACAGTAATATGACTGGTAAGAATCTTGAAGGTACTCTCTTCGATTTCTTCTTTCAAATTTTAGCCCTTATTCTCTAATTAATTTCGGCTTTATTTACTTATGTATTTTTTTGAATATTTCTCTGTATCAGTTTTTATCGATTGATGTAATATGTTCCTTTTTTGTTTTTTCAAAATTCATGTTCAATTTGATGTGTCGTTAAATTATATGTATATATATTTTCTCTTCGATTTTATAGCGATCCCGGGTTTACCCTTGTTGTATAGTGATCCGGACATGTGTCCGTGGATGTTGGTAGTTGTTTATTATCTTGTTTACATCCTTTCTTACTTTGTATTTGAGTTATAGGATGTGTTGAGCGGGTTTGTTACAGGTTGGTTGAGTTTAGAAACCAAAACTAGTTGCCCAGATTTTTGGCCTGTACGCTCGAGCGGAGGTGTTGGCGCTCGAGCGGGGAATACATCCATCCAGTATCTTGTTGTACAGTGTTGTGAGCTCGAGCGAAAATTTCCAACAGATTTTTCTTACTTTGTGTAATGTACATATATTAGCTTTTGCTTGAGTTCATTGATATACTACAAATTTTCATCTTTTTCTACTGAAGTCAATGTTCTCATCCAATTATGATAAATAGGTGCAGCTTGTAAATTCATGATTTCCAAATTACGACCAATCCCATCAGTTGGGTTTAGTCGATGAGAAGTGTAGTTGAAACACATTATGATCTCACTTAATTGTTTTTGTTTAAATGAAATGATTGTATGCATTCTAAATGCAGACTATTCATTCGTGTTCACGTCTCTAAATCATATTAGTAGTAATCTCTTTTTAACATATCCCATTACTTGGGTTTAGTTGATGAGAAGTGTAGCTAAAACACATTATGATCTCACTGATATGTTTTTGTTTAAATGAAATGATTGCATGCATTCTAACTGCGGATTGTTTGTTTAAAAACATATTTTGCATGCTTGTTTCATGGTGAAGTAATATGGAGCCCTTTATATGATGGCATCATGAGAAGTTTCATTACATCAGTGCAGAATACATATTTTGAGAGGACACTTGCACTGGACTTAAGGAATTACAGATTGTATTTCATTACAGATACTGTTTTCTTTGAATTGTTTCCTAATTTTGGGTTATTTGGTCACTTTACAGTGTCAAAGATATTCCAATGTTATGTTTAGGAGATTAACGTGTAAAACTTTAATAAGTTTTATTATGGCCATGAATTTGTTGCATTTTCACAAGAATACACAAGTGTTGTGATCCTTACTTGACTCCTCCCGTCTGTCTAGCAAACTGATACTCATTAAGTATTCTACTTTTCTTATTGTGATTATTAATGTTCTTTCCTATTTTTCTTTGGTCGTTCTTTCATCTATTTTCTTCTTTTTTGAAAGTTTAATATCCATATATTGTGGTCCATGGACTTGGTTCTGTTTTTCTATATTGTGACTAGAATAAACTGTTTATTTTTTTGGATATTCTTCATTAATTAATCTTTTATTTAATTTTAATACTGCAAATGTAATTTATGATTGGTTTTTTTATAGGTGGTATCCCATTGCCAATATTTTCGGAGTAGTGGTTAGCCAAAGAAAAGTTCTCTACAATTGAAGCATTTATTATATCTTCATTTCTTGGAGCAACATGTCAAGGTCGCAATGGGTTGAGCATAAAATACCAGGTAAACCCATGTGAAGCTTTGGAATACTTGTTGCATTTTGATATAGTCCTTGCACAAAGGATAAGGAGGGTTACTATATATGTTCTACTTTGACCACATGGCTTCTTTAATCCCTGTAGTAATTGATCCCAAAATTATTGAATTGAGCTTTGTATGATATGAGTTGAAAATGGAATTATATATGTACGTATGGTTGAGTTGGTGTTCTGGACTGCGCAAACAGATTGGAGTGGTAATCAACATCTTACAGCTCTGTTTTACTTCATTATTTAAAAGCAAAAGTTCATTTTTGTATTCATTTTTTTTTTTGTTCATTCATTCATATTTACTCACCCTAAGTAGTTGAGATCAAAGCAAGTGGAGTTCTTCTGTTATGTTATGCTGTGTATTTTAACCCAGACTGTGACTTAATTTACATGATTTAGTCATGTATGGATAACCATTTTATATCTTTAAATCTTATCTCTCAAAACATGCCATAAAAAAGCTTCAAATTTTCCGGACTCTAGGTAGTTGCAAAGTACCTTTCTTTTGTTCAAATTCTCTATGTACTAATACCTGTGAACTTTATGATACTTGGGGGTATCAATGATATTCACAGTTGGGTGTTCCATTTACTCCAACTATCTGCATGTGTCTTTTCATTTTTTTCCTTTCAATTATCTAAATTAACAAGGTCATGTTGATTCTTGTTTGTTTTTTATTTGGTTTAGCTTGATTGATGAATTTTTCTCATAGTTTTTTCCTCACAAATCAGATTAATTTAATCACAATGGTTCTCTGTTCTTTAGGTATATGTGCAGCTATTGCAGTGTCAAAACATGAGTACTGGTCATCTTAAGCACCTCTTCCTTTCGAAGTTGTTGTTTCTGCAGGGCAAAAGGCTAAAGAGGGATGCTGGGATAAAGGTTTATGTCATTTCTCTTTTCATTGCAGCAAATATTATGATTCTTATTATTTGTTTGATAAAGATAATATATTTGTTTTATTATATCATCTCTTTCAATCACATTTGAGGCCTTTGTATCTAGATTATGTTTTAGGGTAACTGATATTCATTGGCATAGAAACTATTCTATAAGTGAATTTTGTTTGATATAGTTATGGCTTTGAGAAAGTCTAGTGGTTGGAAAATGTTAAGTACCTTAGGTTCAATAATATCCTCCGAAATACTTAACTTTTTCTTACTTATTCTTTTATTCCTTTCATATGCAGACATCAAGTCACCAGGTGATCCAAAGTTTATGGATGCATTTGGTATGTGTTTCATTTTGTATGCTTTGGCCTTTCCTTAGTGCAGTTTTCTACTACATTTTTGCTTTAGAATTTATATATGTATGCACTGAATTCCTGAAAAGTACTATTACCATTAAGTAGGAATGCAATTGCGATTTACAAGGTATTACACTCGATTAAGAGATTTTCATTGTCAAAAGTGTTGGAACAAGCTACTGGTAGAATTTGGGTTCTCGGTTTGGGAGTTAGAGTCGGATTTTGGTCTAGGCAAACTAGTTCCTTAAGAAACTTAGAATTCGAGGTGTTTACACCCCAAAATCACCAAACGGTGTCGGATTAGCACGAAACATGGGACACACGATTGCCTAAGCATGAGAGACTTGTAGGGGAAGATGGGACTCCAATCGGGTTCCCGGTTTGGGAGTTAGAGCCGGATTTCACTCTAGGTAAACTAGTTCCTTAAGAAATTTGAATTCAAGGTGTTGACGTCCCAAAATCACCAAACAGCGTCAGATTAGGACGAAACTTAGCACACACGACCGCCTAGGCACGAGAGACTTGTGGGAGAAGACGGGACTCCAATCGGGTTCCCGGTTTGGGAGTTAGAGCCAGATTTCACTCTAGGCAAACTAGTTCCTTAAGAAACTTGAATTCGAAGTGTTGACGCCCAAAATCACCAAATGGCATCGGTTTAACACGAAACTTGGCACACACGACCACCTAGGCACGAGAGACTTGTGGGAGAAGACGGGGCTCAAATCGGGTTCCCGGTTTAGGAGTTAGAGCAGGATTTCGGTCTAGGCAAACTAGTTCATTAAGAAACTTGAATTCGAGGTGTTAACGTCCCAAAATTACCAAACAGCGTCACGAAACTTGGCACACATGACCACCTAGGCACGAGAGACTTGTGGGAGAAGACGGGACTTCAATCGGGTTCCCGGTTTGGAAGTTAGAGCCGGATTTCATTCTAGGCAAACTAGTTCCGTAAGAAACTTGAATTCGAGGTGTTAACGCTCTAAAATCACCAAGCGGCGTCGGATTAGGACGAAACTTGGCACACACGACCGCCTAGGCACGAGAGACTTATGGGAGAAGACGGGACTCCAATTGGGTTCCCGATTTGGGAGTTAGAGCCGGATTTCGGTCTAGGCAAACTAGTTCCATAAGAAATTTGAATTCGAGGTGTTGACACCCCAAAATCACCAACGGCGTCGGTTTAGTACGAAACTTGGCACACACGACCGTCTAGGCACGAGAGACTTGTGAGAGAAGATGAGACTCCAATCGGATTCCTGGTTTGGGAGTTAGAGCCGAATTTCGGTCTAGGCAAACTAGTTCCTTAAGAAATTTGAATTCGAGGTGTTGACGCCCCAAAATCACCAACGGCATCGGTTTAGTACGAAACTTGGCATACACGACCGTCTAGGCACGAGAGACTTGTGAGAGAAGATGAGACTCCAATCGGATTCCTGGTTTGGGAGTTAGAGCTGGATTTCTGTCTAGCCAAAATTATTTACTTTATTATCTTTGTAATTATTTAGTAGTTAATTTTTTATGTTTTTTTGTAATTAAAATATTGACACATAATTATATTGTCATTAATTATTTTTATTTTTTGTTTATAGATATTTCCCGGGTAGCAGTTTGCTTCTTGTGGAATGCATGCGTGTGAAGATTGCAATTAACTTTTATTTTTGTTACCCACAAAAGAATCATGAGGGAAATTTTTGTTTTTGATTTACGTTATTTTGATTTGTGAACAACATTATGTATTTAAACATTGTATATGTATTATGCAACATTATGTAGTGGGATAATTTTGCTGATGTGTTGTTATGAATGGAAAAATATTTTATTATGGATGAATTGTTAATTTTATATTGAAATTTTTATATTATTATATAATTATCGATTTCTTTTTCAGTTATTTTTCATTTAATACATGTAATTTTCATATTTTTAATATTTTTATTGCTATTTTTTATTTTATTTTATTTTTTTGAGGCGGCACCACACCATCTCAAAAAAACATAAGAACCAGATTTTTTTTGCGACGTCAGTATTGTCGTCGCAAAAGATATTGCCAATAGTGTCGCAAAAGATATTGGCAATAGTTTAAAAAAAACCTTTCGCAACGGTATTCTTTGCCGTCACAAATAATATTTTTAGAGACGGCATGTCGTGTTATCTCAAATAACTTTTTAGCGACCAGTCGCAATAAAAACACTTTTGCGACGGCATTTTTTGTCGTTGCAAATAACACTTTTAGCGACGGCAACATAGTGCCGTCTCAAAAAATCTCAGTTTTTTACGAATTAATGCCAACGGCATAATTCCGTCGCAAAAAAAGGTGACAAAAATTTTTAGCAACGTCCTTTGTTGTGATCCCCCTTACCGTTGCTGAAAGTTAGTTGCCGTCGCAAAAAAAATTGAGGCGGCATTTTAAGTATTTGCGACCGTAATTTACCGTCGTAAAAACTCAAAAAAAAAAAAATTTTATAGTGTTTACACCTGGAATTTCTGCCCTTCCAAGGAGTGTAAAGGACAAAAGAGGACAAGTCAAAGTTTTCCTTCTGAAAAAAACACTATACTTGTGTGTGTTTCCTTCATGGTCTTCAACAGTAACAAACTTCCAGTCAACATTGCTTGCTGTCCAAGCCCATACATGTGTATATACACAAATGTCATTTATTTTTGGACTAAAATAATCAGTTAATATGTCAATTACCACAAGGTGGCTATTTGAGAGGGAAAGTGACTTGTGCATATATCCTTGTGCATACATACTTCTAATTTCTTGGTGCCTACTCAAGCATGATATATTCATTGACCAGAGTCATCTTCTCTCCCTATATATATCATCCCTCTCTCTTCGTCTCTCTCACTCTCTCTACTTGTGCTCTCACTTTTCTCTCACTATTGTCTTCACAAATACTCTTGGGGGGGGCTTCTCTCTGATCTGATCCACAGCTATATACACACACACACATATATTGGTGTTTATTTTTAATTCATGGCAACCGGTGGACCTTATCTTGCCGAAGTTTACGTGATGCGGAAGCTCCATAAGGAGAAGATGAAGAGTACAGAAAAGGAAAGGGAAGAGAAGGAAGTAATTGTTGTTCATCAAGGAAAAGTTTGGTGTGATTGTTTTCCCAGAATGGTCAAGAAAATCCGCCCAAACACGGTGGCGCCACCACCAGATTCCATTGTAAGAGAAGCTGAGACATGGAACCACAAGATACTTGATTGAGTTCATCATATATGTGTATATATATTAAAGTTGAGATTAAAGTTTGTGTATTTTGTTTTTTCATCAATTTCATTTTGTGTTTTGATTGTTGTGCAACTTTGTTTATTGATTCTTTAAGTACTTGTTGATGCACTGGATCATTTCTTTATTTATTTATTTTTAATTTAGAGGCAATAATGAGTTACACAGTATTGATAGTCCCATGAATATTTGGTAAATATTTAATAATGTCGAACGTGGTAGTTTTGAAAATTTATATTTTAGTTAAATTTTTTTATTTTAAAATTCACATAATTTGAATGTACTTAAAACATAAAATATTTGTAAATAAAAATGAAAAAATTATTAAAAATAAAAATATATAAAAATGTACTATTTTTTTTAAAAAAAAAATTAATGAATTATTTTTCATTATCTTTAATAGATGCCAAAAGGATATTGCAGACCTTCAGGTATTTACAACTCTATATAATAGTTTTATTTACTTCTATGATGACACATCATAATTGCTAAAACAACCATAGATGGGCACCACATAGACTTCTTTTTCCTTTTTCTTTTCACTTTTATTAGAAAATTTTCACCTAAACATATTAAATGTCCCCAAAGTAGGCCTCCTATTGAACTTATGGACAACTTGTTTCAAGATTTATTTACTTCTTTCTTACAAATTAAAAATTAAAAATATTGAGGGCAATTGAAAGATTCTTGAGCACTATATGAACCTTACCAACCCCATCTTAGAAAGTGAAGGGTTCTGAAAAGAAAAAGAAAAAAATCTTAGAAAGTGAAGACAAATGAACAATGCCATAGCTTGTCAATTAACACATGCTTGACTTGGGCAAACAGAGGCCAGTTTGAAATTCTGAATTCAAACGAGGTCGTTTCTTGGTGATTGGGTCCCATAACTTATCAATTCTTTTTTCACATTCCCTCTACTTTATTTTACTTTTGGTTGGTCCAACAATGCAAAAGTTCAAATAGTATCTGCAGTAGTTGGGATAAGATTGCAAGTATTTAACTTTTTTTAATTTTTTTACTAATAGAATTCTCATGTATTGTGTATTTTTTTTTCCTTAATTTTAATTTTAATTTTTTAATTTTATTGAAAAGAAAATCGATATAATTACACTAAAATTATTTTTTTTTCCCTCTAAATTTTATAAGAAGTCAGTGTAATTTATCCAAAAATAATTATTTATAGCAAAAACATGATAATATAACAAATAAAGCATTAACTTATTAGATTTATTGGCTGCTGCTAGTGTTTTGGGCCCAAGCAAAAAGGTGGTTGCTATTGGTAAAGATCACTGGTTGGATTTTGGCTCTATTGAGAGTTTGGGTGTTGTTTGCTCTGTTTTCTTTATTTACTGGTACTTGGATGGTTGTTTTCTTTTTGCTCTGTTTTGGTTGGTCTCTCACCTCACCAACATGGTGACATATGATTTGGGCATTTTCTTTTGATGTCAACTTAATTGGGATTGATTGATTGATTTTACTATGATACTCTTTGCATCTTCTTTTTTGATGTACTTTTTTCTTCTGTCAAATATCAGCAATAAATTTTTTCTTCGCTAAAAAACAAGTTAACTTTTTAGAAGTTACTCAGATATTTCGTATTTGTTGTTATCCTCTTCTATGTGTACCTTACCTTCATTACAACTGTTGATTTCCGATTGCAGGTCACTGCTCCTGGGGCGTGATTGAACTGTCAAAATCATGCATATCTACCGAGAGGCAATGGTGTAGCAAATATGTTGGCTAACCATGTTGTTCACCTACATCAGGGAGACCTTGCGATATATCCTAATTCTCCTTGTTTTGTTTATCTTTTATACAACATGACAACAGTGGGATGGCTACCCCAGTTGTGTAGCCAACAATCTTACTAGTTAAATAAAATTGCCTCTTTTATCCAAAAAAAAAAATGGTTCAAAAGCAAATGATGCCTCTTTTATCCAAATGATGCCTTTTTAATATTATTATGTATGTTCCAAAACGTAATGGTCACGCCAAAATAGCATTTGGGGAGCCCATGCCAAAACCCAAAAAAAGAAAAAAGAAAAAAGAAAAAGAAAAAAAAGAAGAAAAAAAAAAAAAAAAAAAAAACTTGGGATTTGACTCTTGTAATATAATACACCTTGAGTTTTTAATTTTATCAATTTAAATCTTAATATTTTTATTTGTTATCAATCTATATCAATCTAAACCATTGGCCTATTTTTATTAAGAAAAATTGATTCGGAAAAATGATATTTTAGTTATTAAACTCATTGTAGGTGTACATAAAATATCTAAAATACTATTTTTCGTTGAATTTAATGACTAAAATATTATTTTTTATTTAGTTTAGTTTAGATTGAAAATAAATCAAAAAATTAGGGTTTAAAATTTAAATTGACAAAATTAAAAATTTATTTTATTACAACGATTAAACTTCAAGTTTTTTTTTTTTTGTGTGTGTGTGCGCGCGCGCGCTGAGTTTGGTTTTGTTAACTTGAAATTCTGATTTCTTCTTTCTTTATTTTCTGCAGTCTTATGAAGATCTCAGTTTCTATATGATATAGAGTTCTGCTTCCACAAAAGAACACATACGTGTAGTTCATACTATCTCTGAGTGTTTTTTTTTTAAATATTCTAAAAATATATATAATTTAGAGAATTGACTCACTTTTCAAACTATTTAAGAAATTAACCTATTTTTTAAAATCGCATTTTAAAATTGTAATTTTAAATTGAAATTGTATTTTCAACATGCGATTTCACTTTGAAATGGCATGTTGAAAATGTAATTTATGATAACATGGATTTCACTAAAATATATTGCATTTTCAACATGCGATTTTAAATGAAATTACATGTTGAAAATGTAATTTCAATTTCAAAATCGTATTTTCAAAATGCGATTTCAAAAAGTATGTTAGTTTCTCAAATAGTTTAAAAAGTAGATCAATTCTCTAAATTATTTTTATTTTAAAAAAAAGAAAAAGAAAAAGAAAAAAAAGAACTCTACTATCTTTTCTAAATGTTTTTCTAGGCTGATGCCATTGCTCAAAACAAAATGTCATGTATAGATGATGATAATGAAAAGCACAACTGTTTCTTTGCCGAACAATAGTAGGGATCAAAAAAAAAATTATAAAATTTTGTATACAATATTTCTATGGGTGTAGGACCAATATCTTTATAATTTTGAAGATGGGGTGGTTGTTGTGCGACTGTATGGGCCTATTTTGTAATTTATTTTGATAATTTAAATTGTTCACTTTTTAAAATATATTGAGTAGAATATATCTGTACAAATCAAGTTAATCGGATATCGTTAATTCTTTCATCTAACCACATTTATATTCAGTTTTATACTCTAAATGATATTTGTTATTTATTTTTTAGATATAAATACAATTCGATAAAAAGGTCAACAATATCTAAACAGCTTGATTTTTTGCAGGTATATTTTATTTGATATACTCTAAAAATGGACGGTTCGAATTATCGAAACGAGCCCCTAAATGGCCTTATATAGCCGCACAACAGTGGCTGATGTGCCCCACGCACAACAACCACCCCACCTCCTGTAATTTTTGTTATCTGAATTAAATTTCAATAGATAGTGCATCTTTCAAAAATTAGCATATTTTTTAATCCTACAACTAATTATGCAAAATGAACATTTAATTTGGATTATCTATTGCAAAACAAACGTGAACAATAGACAATTATGTATCTAATCTAACTTAATAACTAAAAGACAAAGGTTATTTTTTGGTTTTTTAGGTAAAAATTCACAAAAAGATAAAATAAGCTAAAATAGTTAATAAGACAGAATGTCACATCAAACCCATAATCATTTCATTTTTTCTCTCACAAATATCACATCCAATTATAAAAAAATCTAACTATATTTCCAAATATAAAAATTTTACCCTACAAAAATAATTAAAAATTAAACTAACCTATTAAAATAGCAACTTCCCAAACACTCTCATTAATTCTCTCAATATTAGTTTTACTAATCATACAATGCTTAAGAATTACAAATGGCCGAGTTTAGACGGATCAATTCGGATTGTATCTTCAATTGAACAAATCCAAACCCACCTAATTAATCCACCTTAAAAAACTTTCTAAGTGGATGAATTTAGAAGTTATTTTTTTTGTTTTTTAATTTCTTTTATGAGGGATCTGTAAGACGTCTGAATTACAATTCATCATAAGCTTCACCCTTAGGCTTCGTTTGGTAGCTCTTACAAGCTCATTTTGCTAATAAAAAGAAATTCTATTTACACATCACACAAACTCTCAATAAACGCCATTGTCTTAATACACACCACACATATTTTTAATTCGTTAATTTCTTTTCGTTTGACACCATCAATTTTAAAAATCCTAAATTACCCTCATTTTCATCAACTCTTAAACTCTCATCCCAAACCCTAAACCTAACCCTAATGATCACCACAACCGCCACCCACCTTGCCACCACCTACTCTGTGTAGCCTCTCTCTCATCTCACTACTGCTATTGTCTTCCCAACACCCTTAGGGTTCTTTCGGTTAGAAATGGTTTTGGAAAAATCAGATTTTTTCTTAACTTTGGTCTTAGGTGGGATCCATGCGCTAAAATTGGTAGGTCTAAATGGTAACGCATTCTATGTCGCGTTGTAATTCACGTAGTATATTTGGTTGCTCAAAACCATTATCGCGCGAATGGGAAATTGAAGCCAAAGAGAGCTCCATAGAAATTGTATATTTGTGAAGTTTCCTTAAAGGTTTGAACTAAAGGTTTGTCCCACATTGGTTTGGTGGGCAAACTTTTGTGGGTTTATAAGGCTTGAGTTTGCAACTTGGGGCCCCCCAAGTTTGTAGAAGGGAGAGGTTATGGACAAAGTGGGATAGACCCATTGGATCCAAAAATAAACACGTGTCGCCGCTGCCATTCGTCCGTCTGTCCGATCAGTCGGCCGGGCTTGGATGCGTGGTGTGAGGTTGGGCTTGTCCGGCCCAATACCTTTTTTTTTTTTTGGCCAAAAACATTACGTTTGACTTTTATTTTTATTTTTTGTTTGGAAATAAATCCTGTCTGATTTTATTTCAAATTTTGGTTGGAAATAAAATTCAAATTTTGGATTGCACCTCTTCAAAATTTCTGTATAGGTTACATATCTGTTCAAACATATTTGAATTTGTTCAAATTCAAACCTAAACAGTTTTTATCTGTTCAAAATTCAAACCTGTATCTATTCAAATCAAACCAGATTTGTCCGAACAGGTGCCATACTTGTTGGATTCAAACCGAACAGTCACTACTTTCATCTATAAATAGGCAGTCCCTCAATTGATTTTTAATTGAGAAATTTCGTCCTAAATCTGCTATTGCTTTCTACATTCTTGCTGCATTATTTTTTTTGTGAGAAATAGTATAAACACTAAGTGTGTTCGTTGTGTGAATAGTTTGTAGTGCTGTTACTATTCATTGTTGATCATTTTATCTTGGAAGATAAACGTCCATAATCTGAAAGTACTGTGGAGAGGACAAATCTGTCTTAAGAATACAGTGTTAAGTACTGAACTTGATCAATAATTTTGTTCGAAAAATTAATAAGGTAAGTAATTAATTTAATTTCAGTTTTAAGTATTTTTCCTTTTTCAGATTCTGATTTTGTTTTAGTAACTGAAAAATCTAGAAATCCCCTAGATGTTGATTTGTGATTATGTATCAATTTTAAGCAGAATATAACAATCCCAATCAAACAATTAAGACAAAGAAACACAACGATTTTACGTGGAAAAAACCACAATTGGACACCTCCAACTGTGATAAAAAAACATTCTGATTTTGTTTTAGTAACAAAATAAGAAACTGTTTTTATTTTTATTTTATTTTTATGCTGTTTTGATTTTTGTAATCAAACAGTCTCTCTCCTCTCCTTAATCTATTCTTTGAATACAATGAAGATTGTCCAACAATCTTAAGACAGATTTATTTTATGTGTCTCCAATGTATTAATTTTTCTGTGTTTTTACAATGTAATATTCTGGTTGAAAAATACAAATAGTAGTCATATACTTTTGCTAAATAGTAGTAATCACTACAACAAAAAAGGGTTTTTACAGCGCGCAATGCACATCGTAAAAACCCTTCTATGACATGCAGCGCGCGTCATATTATGACCAGTCATGGAAAGTCATTCATTTTTAACGATATGCTTTGTACGCCATTAAAAACTATTTAACGGCAGATTTTGTGCGTCGTTATTACTTTTTCTACGACATGCTATAGTACACCATTAAAAACTATTTAACGGCAAATTTTGTGCGTCGTTACTTTTTCTACGACTTCTTTTGCACGTTATTAATTAGTGAGACAAATAACGGCGCTGATTGCACGCCGTAAAATATGCAATACAACGACTTATTATACCTGCCGTAGAATATGCAGTTTTTTTATTTTTTTATTTTTTAATTCAGCATGTTCTATTTGACCAATTTTGTACAATCTAACAAATATTACAAACAAGCATCAGAAAATATCAATCAACCACCAAAATATTGTTTGAAACATCAAAAAGAAACTATATTCATAAATTATAAACATTCAACAATTGTCTATACATTCCAAACATTCAAAAACTATATCCTTCAGTTCTAAATTGTACAAAAAGTTTAAACCATCCAAAACTATGCATATCTAACTTTTTAAACATATCGACAACCATCAAGAGGTTATCTAAACCTACTAACAACAATTCCTGTAGCGGTTGCAATTGTAGCTGTAGCAAATCCACTTGCTCCTATCATAGGGACAAGGGTGCCCAATGTATGTGTCACCTAAACCCGCGGCAATAGCTGGAGCAACTAACGCTGTTGCATTTCTTGTCTGCATGACAAAAGAAACTTCACATAAGTACAAAAACCAACGACTCAAG